TTCGTCTGTCCAGGTATTTCAACTCGGCAAAAAAACAAGTTCCAGCGCCGAGATTTTGCCAGTGGGCTCTCCGGCCGAGTGCCACCCCAGAACCGCGGTATCAACCCTCAAACATGTCTGGGCCCCGCGTACAACCATGTGAAAGTTTTGGCGGGAAAATTGCTAACTTGGGAACGAGAAAAGCCGGAAAGCTGGAACTTTACAGTAATGTTCCCTACCCTTGTATGGCTAAAAGATTTCAAATCCAGCTGCCTAGGACTGCCCAGGACTCACGCATTGGCACGTGGAAATTTTGGTAGGAAAATCACTAACTCGGGAACAAGAAAAGCTAGAAAACTAAAGCTTTAGCCGAATGTTCCCTACTCATGTACTACTAAAATCAACTGTTCAAAAGCGAACGGGGCCCACGCACGAACACGTGAAAGCTTTGACGGGAAAACTACTAACTCGGGGAAGAAAAAATCTAGAAAGCTGAAACTTTAGGGGACTGTTTTCCATTCATGCTTGTTCAAAAGATTTCAAACTCAGCTCCCTAGAACCGTCCAGGACTCACGTGCGGGCGCATGAAAATTTTTGCTGAAAACAGCTAACCTGAGAAAGAGAAAAGCTGGAAGGCTTCAGTTTTAAGGGAATGTTCTCTCTCTATGTGCGATTAAAAGATTTCATATTTAACTCTTCTAGCAGGGCCTTTTTGGCGGACCAACACCTTTCTATTTGTCTGGCCATTGAAGTCGACATCTATAACTGGCATGCTACACAGCTGCACAATCAACTTCCCGAACTTCGAGGACCAGTATGTCACAAGGCTAGTTAATGTGTTCCATGCGATCGTGCGATAACATGAAAAATGCAAAAACGCATGATCGCACTGGCTCACTTGGTGCTTTCCAGCCTGAGTTTACATTGCATCGACGCAAAAAACGCATAAAAGCGTTCTGAACACTAACTTCACTGTCATGGTTTTTAGTCGAACTGCAACAAGGCAGCTGCGCTCCCTCCTTCTCCACGGCCTCTTGTTTTACTTCATTCGGTTTAACTGTATCGGAAGACGCATCTGAAAATTACGTCACTTTATCCAAAAAAAAAATTGATTTTCCAGAGTCACTTCAATCAAACTAGTGTAAATAGCAGCACACACTGAGCAACCGGCTGCGGGTATGCGTGCACACACGATACATTGCGTGGTAAGTCTTCGCTCAGGCAAGATGATGTTAACGATAAACTTGCAATTTTTGAAAACCATGTATATTAACATCGAGAGGTCAGACTACTGTGCGGAGCCTTTTATGTCACCGACCTGCTGTCAGCTGTTTACTGCAGCAGTGTCAATCCCTCTGCCATCGACTACTGTCTTCTGGTTTATAGCCGCCATCCTTGCCAAATGCTTGAACTACCCTTCGACGAACTCCCCGCTGTGTTCTTGCAGGACGGAGTTGGGGATGATCATATATTGGTCCAACAGCAGTGCGCATGATATTTTCACACAATATCAGGACATAACTTGACCAAAACAGTGGGCGAAATGTACTTCAAAAAACTAGCCATTCGATGGGTATAACTATATAATAAATAGCAACGCGCACCAGACTGGCCGGTGCGATCATGCGTTTTGTGCAATTCAGCCCATCGAACGATTGTCTATTAATGATTTTTACTGCTTTATACTTTAGTCTATGCAAAAATAGTTAAAACATTGAAAAACAGTTAAAAATTTCACGCACCAGCGCATCAAAGCTGAATTCGAAACCCTGAAGGGTGAATATCTTTCCGTGATTCCCTAGTTAATAGTTTATCCGCCAAAATTCTCATGAGGCCGTAGTTGATACTCAACAGCGAGGAAACGCTGAATTTGAATAGGCAAGGTTTAGCGTAGTTATTGCCCTAAAATTTCAGCCTCCTAGACTCCGTGGTTCCTGAGATATTGATTTACCGGTGAAAAAATTTCACGGGGCCATACGTGTTACCCGCGGGTACGGGAAGGCTGAATTTGAATGGGCAAGATTGGGTGTGGGCAGGGGTCATTACCCTAAAATCTCACCTTCCTAGACTCCGTGGTTCCTGAGATATTGATTTACCCGTAAAAAACTTTCATGGGGCCGCACGTGCTACCCGCGGGTACGGGAAGGCTGAATTTGAATGAGCAAGTTGATCGTGGGCAAGGGGTCATTACCCCAAAATTTCACCTTCTGAGATACTGACTTACCCGTAAAAAACTTTCACGGAGCCGTAAGAGTTACTCGCTGGTACGGGAAGGCTGAATTTGAATTTGCCGCGTCACCCGTTGGCGGAGAACACTGTACCAAAATTTCAGCCACCTAGCTTTTGTGGTTCCCGAGTTGAAAGTGCGGGACAAAATGTAGGACACACACAAACACACACACAAAGACAACCCCGTGACAATATGCGTTTTGTAACGCTGTTACACAGCACAAAACGC